ATGAGAATTTCTCCTGAAGGGATGAAGATTTCCCCTGTATGTTATTGAGAGATGAAGATTTCTCTCGAGGGGATGAAGATTTTCCCTGCATAACGATAGTTCGACGGCGGTCGGAGCGTTACACTATTGGGCCTAATTATGGGAATGATAAGAGCAGTTTCGTTGTTACTAGGGAGATAATATTTCGCCCTTGTTTGTGCCTCTACTACCCTCACGATTAAACCGTCACGATTCACCAAATGCTTTTGTGTGTGAATGGAAATTACATTTTAATTTTCTTTTCCATTAAAATGGCTTCTTTTGCTTTATCTCGCCCATGTCAATAAAAATTCCAAAATTACTATTTTTGCACATCTAAGAGCATCTCCATCTAAGAGGGATTCTCAAAAAAATTATATAAAACAAAATATAAATAAAATATGAGGAGGGGTTCTCAAAAAAAGAGAGAGGACTTCCTCTCATTTTTTGAGAACCCCTTATAATATTTAGCTATTATTTTGAGAATCCCTCTAATACTTTAGAACCCCTTGATGGAGGTGGTCTAAATGTTCAGTCTTCTCTTTATACCATCATATCTCTTTCTCCATTTCGTTCTTATCTCTGTTTCTTTACCACATATCCTTTTGATATTCCTTTTTTACACCGATTTTGTGGCACAAGATCTTGTAGTTTTCGACTTTCTTCTTGTTTTTGCTTTAAAATCAACTCTCAATACAGAAAACATTGTTATTTGTCGATTCAGATTATTATGATTATTGTTCCCTTATTCCGCAGTTATAAAAGTGTCATGCATGTTTCCCTTTGTGTATCGATTTGTTTTTTTGCCCATCTAAGTTTCAATTTTGGCATGCTTGTTAAAGATTTTTGGTTCATTCTTAGGTTTTGCAGATCTAGAATTATTTTTACTGCGTTATACTAAAACAATGGGTGCTATGTATAGTTTTACTTTGCTAAGTAATATCTTACGGATTTAGTACATGTTTTTTCAACTCTATGTCTGATTCATGAATTCTTTTTTTTTGCTTTATGTATAGAGAATTGTTGTGGACGAGATCAGGTTTTGTATGTGAAGATGAAGAAGTGAAAATTATGGGTTATAAGTTCTTTTTCTTTGTTGCTCTGTTGTTTCTTCACTTTTATGATTTTTGCATTCTTTCCCAACTAGGACCGGTAAGTTCATCTACTAAACCATATTCATAACAAGCTCTATCTTTTCATAATTTGTTAAAACGTTTAATGTATCATATAAATATAAAAATGTACCTCTAACTTTCTACATAACAAGATAAATAAATTTGTAGATTATATTAACTAGCTATGCATAAATATACATGTATATTGTTGACATAACTAGTTATTTTAATGCGTAACATGCTATTATTTTTATAGTAGCATTTAAAGACAAAAATAGAAAGAGAAAAATAGACCTCTATTTTTTTACTTAACGAGGTAACAAATTATAAAACCTATTTTTATGTCAGTTTTCTATTTAATTAATGCGCTACAAATAAATATTAACCATTATTAAATAAAATAGAGGTCTATTTTATATGAAGAAAATTTGTAAAATGACAATGTCAAAACTTTTTCACTGAACATATATCATATTTTTACATGTAACAAGACAATATTATATACTAGTAATTGCTCACGCGTTGCGTGGGATTTAAAGTTAACATGGTAAAATATGCAATAATTTATAATGTATTGATTATGTATTTAATATCATATAAATTTAGTGTTTATTGTAAATAATTATCTAAGTTAGATAA